CAATTTGTCTTGAGTACGAAATTTTGCTGCCTCGACAAATGGGGGTGTGTTTATTTCCAGTAGCCAGGATTCTAAACCCGGTGTAATCCTGGTTTTGAATCTTGTTTACTGGGAAAGAAGCAAAAGCCAGGAAGTCACAAGGTGGGTGTGTGCAAGCCCACAGGTTTGAGGCTTGTTTGTCTCACAAACCAAATAATTGTTTGATATATCCGAACACAGCCCAGAGTGCAGGCAGGTAGTGGAGCTAATGAAGATTTTTCGTATTCTTTTGAATGGAGAAGTGCTCCTTCGCATAAGATCACATCAGTACTGAAAGCAGGTTGAAGTAAGCTTGCTTTCATTCAGGGTTTTGTTGAGTCCATATCTGCGTGCTTGCATACAGTTGCTGTTAACTGCCAATATTAACAGTTGTCAAAACAGCAGGGAATTGAATTGCCATACATCTAGCCCTTAATGTCTTCGCCTCAGGTACTTGTTAGATATGAATTTCATGCCATTGGATGTACAGCCATAAAAATCTTAATGGAATACACTGTGATGGAATGTTGAGAATAACATACACAGGAGTCACCTTGAGTCCACAAGGTCTGCCATAATTCAACATTCACCGTCTCACCCATCTTTTTTCAGGATTTTTCCCCCCTCAGGCATTGATCTTAAAGTTTTTTTTTAAAAAAAAGCATTTGCTCTTTAGTATTCATCCATTTATTTATCTCCACAGACGAGGAGCCCGAAGCTGTCTCAAAGCCCACAACCCAACTTGGGAGATCAGGCAGAGTATTTGTCAGAAGCATCTGCCGACTCTCTCGAAATCATGTCTGAAGGAGAGTCCCCTACACCTTTCTCAAGAGGAAGCCGTACACGAGCGAGCCTGCCAGTGGTGAGGACGACAAACCAGACAAAGGAGAGATCCCTTGGTAAGCCGTTACACCAAGCTAATACTGCCCCCTTCTTAGGCTTCTGTTGCTGGCTGCTCCCTGTTTATATTTGCCACCAAATTTTGTTCAGCATGAAAGAAATGGAAAAACTGACATGCCATAATCTCTTGTTAAGCACGACGGCCCCGGCTCTGTGAGACTAGACTTCATATTCTTTCTTTCTTGTCTGTCTGCTATGTTTCTCCCTAGTGGGGACCCAAAGTAGCTTACAATACAAAAATATACTGTTAACAAACATACTGGGGGAAAGGCTTTCAGGTGCAGGGCAGGCCTCACTCTCTCCCTCTGGCTTCCCCCCTCTTTGCCGGCACATCTTTCTCCCAGCTCCAGGCACCATCGACCTCCTGGCCACCTCAGTCTCAAAGGGGTTGCCTGCAAGAAAGGAATGCGAAAAATGCAGGTTCTTACAATAGCCAACTGGTGTTGCAGATCCTTCTGCCTTTTAGCTGTTTGTTGACTGGGAGGCCTCAAGAAACCACATTTCAGCCTGTCAATTGAAATAATGATGAACGTTTCATCTTATGGAGGAGGAAGCAGAGGTTCCAAAGCAGTGGTGGGCATTGTCTACTTGGAACTTTTTTTCTGCCTCTTCTTCTAGAGCAGTAGACCAGTAAATGAGTCCTCTTGGTAGCTGGGTGGAGCTGTGCAGGCTGGCATAAAGAGGTTGGTGTCCATGGCGCCCCCTTCAGGCTCCGCCCTGCTCCGCCACTGCCCACTCTGCACATTGTTGCATATCAACATAAGAAGCTGCCTTGTAAAGAGGCAGAATATTTTTCCCATTCAGCCAATGTTCTCTGCTTTGACTTGTTGCAACTCTCAAGTCTTTCCCAACCCTGCAACTTGAGATCCTTTAGCTAGAGATTTCAGGGACTGAAACTGGGACAAACTGCAGAACAATTGTCCCTCCAAAGGGCTACTGGCCCCGACTACAAATTGTTAGTATAGATTTTGACCAGTTCTCCTCATGGAGGCTTGGAATTGAAAGGGGCCTTATAGACTCAAATTCAGGAAAGGTAAAGATAGAGGATTCCCAACAGATGGCTGTCTGACCTCCACTTGAAGTCTCGCAGCAAGGGAGAGCCCACCACTGTCCTGAGTAAGTGGTTCCATTGTTGAAGTCTTCTCACCAAAGAAGCTTCCTCCAACGTCCAGCCAAAAGGCATCCTTCAGTAACTAGCCCATTAGATGTAGCTTTGTCCTCTGCAGCAGCAAAGAACCAGTCTTCGCTCTCTTCCATGGGATGACAGCCTTTAAGTAGTTGTCACTTCTTACTTGACTTGATCCAGATTGAATTTTCCAGTGGCAGAATGCAGCTCCTGCTGCAGTTCACTGGGGCTTAGGGGACCCAGAGGAATGACAGGAGAGGTGTTTGAAGTGGGAAGGGAGAATGAGTGGAAACTGCCAGTTTAGTTTGGATTCAACCCAGTGAATCCGTGTGGCCACAGAACCCCAATTCCCTAATGTATTGTATAGCTGTCAATGAGCAGTCAGAGGGGAATGATTCATTGCCCAGTCTTCTAACATTCCCCCACCCACCCCCGCTAATCTCAAAGTAACTGTTCTTGCCATTGGCCGACTCCATTTGGTAACAGATTTAGGAGGAGATGGATTTTCTTGGCAAATGCTGCCCTGAGATGGGCAGACAGTTGTGTTATAAGCCAAGGTTACCGGTTGCTGCGGAAGGGAAAGGGTTATTGCTATAGTGGTATGTTATTTTGGTTGATCTTAATAAAAGGTATAGCATGGCTTTTGCTGTAGTGTAGCTTCTCTTCTGCAGGAGTCCATCTCCCAGCGTGCAAAATATCATAAAGCAAAAAGACTGAGTCATAAATCACAGGGATGCTCATAAACTGAACATAGTGGTTTATTTGTTCTGTTAACAATCCCAGACCATTTTTATCAGGAGTGCTTTGATATCTGATACATAATCTTCTTTTCTTTTAAAAAAATACCAAAAAATATTGAAGTGACAGGCAGTTTGTACTGGCTTCTGGAGCCTACAGAGACCAGGGATGATAAATCAAGATGGGTAGCTGGGTTAGTCTGTCTGTAGCAGTAGAAAAGAGCAAGAGTCCAGCAGCACCTTAAAGACTGACAACATTTGTGGGAGGGTATGAGCTTTTGTGAGACACCGCTCACTTCTTCAGATACTCTGAGCAAGTGAGCAGTGACTCATGAAAATTCATACTCTGCCACAATTTTTTGTTAGTCTTTAAGGTGCCACCGCTCTTTTCTGCAGGGATGATGAAAAAATTAGTATTCCTGCATATTAGTTTGCAGCAATCTGCTTGCATTAATGCTTTGACTCCTGCT